AAAGAAGAGTATTTAAAAAAAAAAAGGGGGATAGAATAGAAAATAGAATGTATCTGAAGTTAAAAGGGTAAGCTTGAAATTACACCAAGTAAGTTCAGCATACACTGGCTAAGACAAAAGCTACAGATAACTGTAGAAATAAAAGAAGCACCATATTTTTTAAATCAAATTTTGAATAGCAGGGCAAAAATACAAATTAGAATAGACATAAACTTTGAGGATGAAATGACATGAAATCAAGGGTTTGCTTTTAAAATGCTATAGGGGGCACCTGGGTGGCTCAGTTGGGTAAGTGTCCAACTCTTGGTCTCAGCTCAGATCTTGATCTCAGGGTCATGGGTTCAAGTCCTGCACTGGGCTCTATGCTGGGTGTGGAACCTACTCAAAAAAAAAAAAGTTTAAAAAATGAAATGCTGTAGAAGAAGACAGGAAGAAAAACAGGGAGGGAGGGAAGAGGAGAGAAACAAGTACAGCAATATAATATACTCTGGGAAGCATATATGGGGTTCGTTATACTGTTCTCTTTACCTTCATGTATGTTTTGTAACACACTAAAGACTCAAAAATAGAAGAAAAATGGGTGTTATAAATGCTGTGTCATGTTTTGGGTTCTGATCATATTTTATCTTTTATAGGTACTTTTATTTATGTTAGTTAGTAAAACAGGGTGTGTAATTAGTTCTTAATTGGTAAGTAGCTCTTGCTCTCTAAAGTCCTAGAGTAGACCTCACTGCCTCCTTCCCGCGGTCCCCAGCAGTAGTGATTCAAGAACAATATACACGTGCGCCTGTGTCTTCGTGCCCACAGGGCAGAATTCCAGGTACAACCTCAGAGCAGTGAAACAGCTTTGGCTAGTCCTGAATTAAAATCTTTTGAACAAGAACTTCCAGAGTGAAAGAAAATCGATGCAAAATGAGCTCTTTGAATATTTCTTTTTTTTTTTTTTTAAGATTTTATTTATTTATTTGACAGAGAGAGAGCACAAGTAGGCAGAGTGGCAGGCAGAGGGAGAGGGAGAAGCAGGCTCTCCGCTGAGCAGGCAGCTGGACGTGGGGCTCGATCCCAGGACCCCAGGATCATGACCTGAGCCGAAGGCAGCCGCTTAACCGACTGAGCCACCCAGGCGCCCCTCATTGAATATTTCTGACAGCATCTTTATACCAAGTACTGCCATGAACAGTGGTTCATGGACTAACTTCTTTTCTTTTCCAGGAAGAACTGGAACTATGATTTGTGCCTACCTTATTGCCAGTGAAATATTTATAACTGCAGAGGTATGAAAGACGTTACTACAGACGATCTTGTGCTGATTGAATTTGATAGTTCTGAAACCTCACTGGTAGGATGTTAAGATGATTCTCTGAGTCATGGTACTTAGAAAAGTTGTAATTGGAGATGCACTGATTAGAAAGCCTGGTTTTGATACATTATTTTTTTTTCAAAGTTTTATTTAAATTCTAGTTAGTTAATCTACCATATTTCCTTGTTTAATTTGCACTGGTTAGTAACCTAGGTGCTTCTTACTCTAGGCCAGGACTAGGGTGAGGTCCATGAGACACTCACCTTAGGCACAAAATTTAAGGGAATGCCAAAATTTTCAGTAATTAAGAGAAATAATCTAATGCAGTATTTTTTTAAATCAAAATTAATGCAAAAAAAATCCGTGATGTCTACAGTAATACCAACATTTTAAATGAAGATAGAGCCTAATAGGGACAGGATTATAATGGGGTAAGGTCAAGCTGTCCAAGTGGAAAACAACTCCACAGTCATAATGCTTCTTACACCTCATTTCATCCCAGCCCCATTCTTATGCCCCCAGATAGGGGACGGTCTCCTTCCTCACAAGAATAATATCAAGACTGGTTTGGTAAGTTCTCCAAAGGACCTCCAACATCCTTAGAAGCACTAGGTAGATAAAAGGTACATTTTCCAATGCATAACAAAGTTACTGGATGTTATTAACCTTTTGTAGTCAATATCTATGGGGTCTGTTGGAGGCTGTGCTCTCTGAAAATTTCTGCAGAGACAGGGTAGGCTATTTCCAGTTCTTAAAGTGGGGTTCTCAGTCTTCTTTCTGCCATGATCGAGCTGAGAAGCTCCCACTGAACGGACGTGCCCAGCAGCTCTGCTCCCTACTTGGCCTGCAGTCTGAGAAGAGAAGCTTCAGGTTGTCTACAGTGCCCCACCCTCTGGTGCCACCATCTGCTTTGTTCCTAATTTTTAACACACAGGTTAGGAAAATGGATGTTCTCATACAGTGTTTTTCAAACTGGGTCCAATCTATCAGTGAGTTGTAAAGTCAACTTATTGGGTTGTGACTAGCGTTTTTTAAAATAAAATGTACTAGATTAGAATAGAAAATATCAAAAGGTCAGTATTGTTTTGTGAAACTTTGGTTTCAGTTGTGTGTGTGTGTGTGTAAAAAGCCTTGAAATGACTTTTTTTGCTGTTAATTTTAGTTTGAGCAGCCTCTGCCCAAAGGCCGCGGACTTAAGGAAATAATGTGCCCTTAGAACCTTTAAGAATGCCTTACACAGGAAAAAGAAAGTGCAGATGAACCATGATTGCATTGCCCCCTTTTCCATAGGAGAGCCTTTATTATTTTGGAGAACGGCGAACAGATAAAAGCACCAGCACTAAATTTCAGGGAGTTGAAACTCCTTCTCAGGTAAGTTGTCTTTCTTAAAAGGGGGTTCTTTGGGCAGAGTTTGGCACCTATTATTTGGTTTCGTTTTGGACTCTTTACCTCTGGTGAAGGGGCAGCTCCACTCTGGTGCCTGTGACTGGCTGGATCCCTCCCAGGACCCGAGAGCCACACCTTCCGTTTTACATTGGTCACTGCTTACAGAGTTCAAGAGTTGATTCCCTTCCCAAAGTAGGAAGGTCTAATTTCTAAGATTCCAGACTCGAAGATTATGGAAAGTCACTGGCCTTTGACTCCCCTCTGAGAGGAACTGAGTCTTTCACAAACCCCTACTAGGACAGTTCACCTCTTGTAGGATATCACGTGTGTGTGTGTGTCTGTGTGTGTCTGTGTCTGTGTGTGTGTGAGAGAGAGAGAGAGAGTCAGAGAAAGAGACAGAGGAGGGGGCTGCTGTATTTTGAAAGAAAAAAGGGAAATTAAAATCTTTCAAAAACCTATTCTATTCCAGACACTATTGTACTTTGACATATATTATCTCATTTAATACTCAGAAAATCCATGTGAAATACATACAGTTACCCTATTTTATCCTTTTAAAAATGTTTTATGAATAATTTCAAACATAAAAAGTTTAGACAATCCTATAATGAATCCCCTTATAGTCCTCACACCACTTCAACCATCATTTTATCATGTTTCATTCATTCCCTCCCTATTCTCCTCATACACATACACCCCTTCTCCACAGAACCGTCTAGTGTGGAGGAAATCCCAGTCATCAGATGATTTTATCTCACAAGGATTTTAGTGTGACATCTCACATAGACTCTTGGTGGGGGAGGAGGACACCTTAAAACCATTGATCATATTTAAAAATATTATATCTTAAGGGGCACCTGGGTGGCTCAGTCGGTTAAGCGTCTGACTCTTGATTTCAGCTCAGGGTCATAATCTCAGGGTCATGAGATCGAGCCCTGCAATGGACTTTACATTCAATGGGGAGTCTGCTTGAGATTCTCTCTCTCCCTCTCCTTCTGCCCCTCCCTCCCTCTAAAACAAATAAATAAATCTTTAAAAAATAAAAATAAATAAAAATAAAAATATTATACCTTAATGATATCTTAATAATATCCAATTTCCATCATTACCTTAAATGTTTCTAAAATTTAGTTTGTTTCAATCAGGATCCAAACAAGGGCGAAACATTTCATTTGGTTGCTAGATCTCTTCAGTCTCTTTTAGTTGATAGGTTTCCCACCTCTCTCTTTTATTCCTTGTAATCTGTTTATTCCAGAAACTGGAATATTTATCCTATAGAGTTCACAACATTCTAGACTTTGTTGTAAAAACCATGCTAGGGATATTATATTCATTATCTCATTTAATATTCTCAAAATCTCAGAGTGGACACCATTACAGTTCCCATTTTACAGGTTGGGAAAGTGAGGTTCAGGGAAACTAACTTGTTGAACCAAGAACTCAAATCCAGCTCTGTCAGACTCTGAAGCCCATTATTTCCCATCCTGTGCACAGCTTCTCTACATTGCCTTTTCTGTATTGCTCCTCAAGCTGAAGTAAGAGCTGGTTAGGAACCCTTAAGTAGACATGGATGTGGCTATGACTGAAAGTTTGGAGTTAAGTGCTGGGAGCCAGTTAGATACCCTTGGCCTTTGTTAGCAGCACATTGTAACTGCTGACGCTAGATGTTTAGTTTGGGACAAAAGAACGCAGCCTTATCCACTGATACTTTTCTGCCACCCCCAAGCGAAAAAGGAAGAAAAAAAAAGTCAAAGGCCATAGGCTAAAAGTCATAAACGAACTTACTGAAGCCTAGTCAGGGAATCATGCCCTTTCCATGCTCAAGACCCGTACTGGTTTCTGACAGCCGGTGGCCCTCAAGGTCTTCTACAGTGTGACTTTTCCAACCATTTCTTGCACTATGTGCCTCCCATGTCCCACACACCAACACATTTGGACTGTTTAGGGTTTCCCACCCTGTCCGCTGCTCATGGAGGCCCCTCTCCAGGAGCCACTTTCCCTCTGAACATAGAGAGTCTCTTGCTTTTTCAGTTCTTACAGCACTTCGTGTTTTTCGGGGGGACTAAGTTACTTCTCACAATTCTCTAGCTGTTTGAAGTGGTGACTTCTCTACCCCTTTTGCAGCCAAGGTCCATGTCTTACCCATCTTAGCACCATTTGCCTCCCAAAGTGTCTCACACAGTATCCCCTTTGTGTGTAGGGAATGCTTACTAGACACACGTTCGTTGTATGAACTTCTGCTCCAAAGCCTTGTTGTCTGAGGCTGTAGGAGAAGGAAGAGTGGGGGCAGAAGCAGCTTGAGGGCCCTGGTGGGTTACAAGACTTCGGTGGAAAGTAGAGAATCTTGTGGCAGGAGCCGAGGGGCTGTTAGATGGAACTCCTTCAAGGATTCTCCCTGCACATCTGCCCTCCCCCCACCACTTCTGCACCCTGCAGTTTCTCTAACTCCAGCCCAGAACTGGTACATACTGGTACATCATAGACTACAAAGGACTCTCTTCCAATTCACTGGACTAACAGGACAAGGACTTGGCCTCAGGTGTGAGTGCTGGGTTGGCAAGGCCCCAGGACAGAGTTCCCTCCATGGGGGGTGGTAAATCGCAGATACTGTCATATTTTGATTGTGCTTTGTGGCCTGTTCTGTGGACTACATTTCATCCATCCCCAAGTTAAGAACTTGCATGAGCCTTTCTTTTGACTGGCCCTTTCCAATGGAAAGTATGGCAGTTAATTTTATTAACACTTCCCATTGGGTGGGGGAAAAAAGTCCAGTTGATTCAGTACCAGAACTCTTCCACTTCTTTTTTTAAGATTTATTTATTTGAGAGAGAGAGTGCACAGGGCGGGGGGGTGGGGTGCAGAGGGAGAAGGAGAGAGAGTCTTAAGCAGACTCCCTGTGCTGAACACCCAAAGAAAGTTTCGATCGCATGACCCTGAGATCACAACCTGAGCCAAAACCAAGAGTCAGATGCTTAACCAACTGTGCCATCCATGCACCCCCAGAACTCTTCCACTTCCTGAAGAATCAAGGAGAGGGTCGCCTGGCTGGCTCAGTTGGTAGAGCATGAGACTCTTGATCTCAGGGTTGTAAGTTCAAGCCCCAGGTGGGTATAGAGATTACCTAAAACTTAAAAAAAAAACCTTGGGGCGCCTGGGTGGCTCAGTTGGTTAAGCGACTGCCTTCAGCTCAGGTCATGATCCTGGAGTCCCGGGATCGAGTCCCGCATCGGGCTCCCTGCTCAGCAGGGCATCTGCTTCTCCCTCTGACCCTCTTCCCTCTCATGCTCTCTGTCTCTCATTCTCTCTCTCTCAAATAAATAAATAAAATCTTTAAAAAAAAAAAAAAAAACTTAAAGTCAAGGAGAGCCCTTCTAAGCAGCTTGCTACAGGAGAAGGACTTCCTTGCCAAAACAGAATTGGGGAAATGAAAAGAGAATACAGTCAAGCTGGCCACAGGGATAAGAGCATATTTATCTACCTAGTGGTGTGTGGAGGTCTTCTCGAGTCCTTTCATGACTAGGAGGCTACTCTCTGCCAAACCACAAATCTTCCTTTAACCTAATCACAGCTAAGTCTCCACCCTCAGACTGAGCTTTTCCACAGTTACATTAACTACATCTTGATGTAATGTTGTAGCTCTTTCCGTTGGTTCTGGTTAGGTGCCCTCTCAATCGAAAGTAGCCTATAAACAGCACCTGGCTCCCTTCTTGTTCCTTCCCCACAGCACTGAGTTCAGTATTTTTTTTTTTTTAAGATTTTATTTATTCATTTGACAGAGATACACAGCAAGAGAGGAAACACAAGCAGGGGGGAGGGGCAGAGGGAGAAGCAGGCTTCCCGCCGAGCAGGGAGTCCGACGCCAAGCTCGATCCCAGGACCCTGGGACCATGACTCGAACCGAAGGCAGACGCCCAACAACTGAGCCACCCAGGCGCCCCTGAGTTCAGTATTTTTCTTCTAAGGGAGATATTCAGTCATGAGGCAACAAACATAAACATGCCTAGTTATATAATGGCACTCAATAAATGTTTAATTAATGATTCTCCCTAAATTCTATGTGAAAAAAAAAATGAGGAATGCTGAGTGAAGACTTTTCATCTCCACTTAAATTGAGGCTTCTGTTGTTTTGCAGAATAGATATGTTGGATATTTTGCAGATGTGAAAAATATCTACAACATGACTCTCCCTCCAAGAAAAACACTCAAGATAAAAAAAATCGTTATTTATTCAATTCATGGTAAGTGCTTTATGTGTAATTGGAGAATTGGGCAGGAGGGCAATGTTCTGACTCTTCAGGTATGGGACGGTTGCTCCTGTGTCTACTGACAATCCCAACTCATGGCTGTCCTTTTATGCATCCTCATGTGTGAACCCCTCCCCCTGGAAGAGCCCAGCAGCCCTTAGATGTCCTCTCTTCACCAGTCTGGGGGGCTCCATCCCCTTCCCTTGCTGCCTTGGCCTCAGCCCAAGGTGGGCTTTTCAGAATAGCACCTCTGATGGAAAAGAGAGGAAGGGGCTCATGCGCCCGGGAGACCACCTCTTCCTCATGTCCACCTCTAGTTCAGGGTTCATCTTGGCAGCCCTGTATCATTTTCTCACATGCCCCTTTCAGAAACCCTTTTTTCCTCTCATCACCCTGGTCTCTTCCTCTCCACTCCCTCCTCCACCCTTAGTCCCCTCACCCCTAGCAACTCAAGATGTCTTAAGACGTCTTAAATACCCAAACAGCAAATGAATTTTCTGCCACAAATTCTTTTTTTACGAATAACTACCAAGTGCCTGCTTTGGGCCAGCCCCATGCTAGTGTTTCTCTGCCCTTAAGAAGGAGAGGAATGAGTGCGCATAGATAAAGAGCTGACCACAGTGTTGGGGCCCAGACAGACTGGGCCCTGCCCAGCTGGGGGGTCAAAGACAGCTTCCTAGGGGACAGCACCCAGCCTTCCCTACCAGAATCTACGTGAACACAGAAAGGGGGTTGGGAGAAATCTGGACTCTCTGGGGCGGGGGAGGGTGTGTGTGTGTGTATTTCAGCCTCCTAGCTCTTACTAGTTATTACCAGGAGTAAAAATCCTTATAAACTTTAAAAGAGCTGACTGTTCATCTGCTTCGAGAATGTCAGGAGAGAGACTGGGATCCACCATCACCCAGGGAGGCAGGAAAATTAGATCATCCATCTCTGGGACTTGAGAAAGGAAATGGAAGGGGAGGGGAAGAGGAGGGAGAGAGATGGAACCATCCTCAAGTCTCTAATTCTCCATCACCCACCTCCCTTCCTGCAGAGCTCACAGGGGAGGCGGCAGAGCAGGGCCACCTCAATGGAGATGGGCTGGGGCCTCACTCTCACTGCCAGAGGCACAGCAGGGAGCGATGCTCTGACTCCCCAAAGTCAGACTGTGGACCATGCAGAGGTGCCGGGTCTCTCATGGGCGGTATGGTGCCAGGACATTGGTATCCATCCAGACAGCCTAGTGTTTTTAGTCTTCTGGGGAGTCACACAAAATAAGATCTAGATATATTTTTTTAACATGTCATCCAATTATTCAGAAATAGAAGAATCCTTTAAATAAATAAATATATGTATATATATATATACACATATATATGTAAACTGCATAGTCAAAAAATTAAAATATGAAATGCCTTTTTCAAATTATTTTTATATCCCTTCTTCCCCACCACACACACAATAGGTGGTGGTGAGGAATTTTAATGGATTACCACAAACAGATTGCATAGGTTTCTGGCTTGTGAAAACAAATGTCAACCCAGGGGCATTGTTTCTGTGGGAAATTTCGGCCTAGGTTTCCAAACAAGCACTGTGCAGTCAGACCCTTGAAATTCAGTCTGTTCTGGCAGAAGGCTGCCTGTGTGTATAAATAAGCAACTGTTTGTGAAAAGGCTTTGCAGACTGCAAAGTCCTCTAGAGAGTCCATTATGACTGTATCATCAGCCGTGTGTGAATTAGCAGGGACAGGGTTGTCGTGGGTCCTAATGGCTGACCTCACTCAGAATTCTAGCTGCTGTCACACTTCTCCAGGGCAGAGCCAGGCTTGTCCAACAGGTGTCAGAAGGTAGTGGTCAGCAATGTTTTGCCCTGTTCCCTTTCCACATTCAGTGGGGTCCTGCAAAAAGAGTAGACCACTTTATTGTAGACCAGGAAAAACACAGTCAGCCACTGGAGCAGTTTCTCCCACCAAGAAATATAAACCCAACCATAAAACCAACTCAGTGGCATGAGAGCCAATACTGTATCTGAGTGTATACTCTGTTCAATTTCCTCTTTGTTAACAATGGGACCAACAGTATCTATACAAACCCCTGTATTAAACTGTTCCAGACAGGCAAATAGGCATTTGGTCCAGTGGAATTTTAATATATTTTTCTAACATGAAGAGTGAGAATGGGAATTGTTTCTCAAAATTCTAAGCTTTAAAATGTTTTTAATAAGTTCTAGAATTTCATATGTTTCTCAGTCTGATATTATGTCCTAAGACTGTGACTTCTCTGTTAATATTTTAAATTTTATATAAACTCTGTAGAAACATTGTTTAGTTAAGACTGTAAGGTGCAGATGTGGAGAACAGAGGAGCTAACCCAAATGGACGAGTACTGTAGGGGAAAACTGGGAGAGAGTTTCATGGGTTTGGTTTGCTAGTCTCGGACTAACATAAAATAGATTATAAGAGTCCAGTTTGAGATTCCTCATGAAGACTTCAGACAAAGTTGCAATCTTAGCAGTTGTTCACTACCATGTGGGTCCAGGCTTGCAGAGCCAATTTAAGAAGGGTTGCATGGTAAGTTACCATTCTTTTTGCACCCATGTAAATAATCAGGCCAAAGCTAACGACACCAGCCTTTTTCTTTCTTTCTTTCTTTTTTAATTTTACTTATTATCCACTTATCCCCTTTTTAGCTTGTCCATCAAGCTGTACGCTCTAGGCTAAGACGTTCTGTTAGCCCTTGGGGTTGGAGACTCTTGGTGCCCCATCAAGATCCCCTTGGATCCCTTCCACCAGCTCTGTGATCCCACCCCCCAGCCTCCACCCCCTTTGCTATAATCTTTGGAGAATTACCACTGGAGCCAACTCACTTACATGGAACCCAAAATCCCTGAGAGTGACACCACCCTGTTGGGCAGCCCATAGACAATGACTAGCAGCTGTTCAAAAACAACTCCATTGCTTCAAAGTGTGACAAATTCTGCAGGATAATTTACGCTCAAGAATTCTCCATGGATCAAGCTGAATCTGCTGAATCCCACCCTTCCTTGGATCTTATGAATTCTTCCTAGGAGCACTTCATTTATAAATCACTAGCACCCAAAGGGTTGGCTCAGGGTCTACTTCTGGGAGAACGCAACCTGTAATCACCCATTTGCTTATATTGAGGTGTAGTATTTATAACACTATATTTACTTAGTCTATGTCAGGTGATATACTCTATATTGCAAATTGCATGAGGACAGAGACCATTATTCATTCATCTTTGAATCCCCTAGATCATGACACATAGTTGGAGCTCAGTAAATCTCTGTTGAGTTGACTTGAACTAAAATGTCTCTGGCATGTCTCACCACACCCTGTCTATCCCTCATCATCCATTTCTCTGATTTTATCCCCCACCTCTCTGCCCATCCATAAATCAGCGCCAGCAACAGTGGCTTTCTTCTTCATTTTTTTTTTTTTTGGTTGCCATTCTTTTATAGTAACAATTCTTGGACTTCTACATGTTGTCTCCCCCTTATTTTTATAAACTATTTCTTTATTGAAGTATACTTGACACAAAATATTACATTCATTTTAGATACATAACCTAGTGATTCGACAAGTCCATACGTTATGTTATGCTCACAAGTGTAGCTACCGTCCATCACCATACAACACTATTACAGTATCACTCACTATATTTCCTATGCTGTACCTTTTATCCCCATGACTTATTCATTCCATGACTGGAAGCCTATATCTCCTGCTCTCCTTCACCTAGTTTGTGCATCTCCCCACCTGCCTTCCCTCTGGTAACCATCAGTTTGTTCTCTGTATTTACAGGTCTGGTTCTACTTTTTGTTTGTTTGTTCATTTTTTTGTTTTATTTTTTAGATTCCACATATAAGCAAAACCACATGGTATTTGTCCTTTTTTGTCTGGCTTATTTCATTTAGCATAATATACTGTAGGTCCATCCACACTGTCACAAATGGCAAAATCACATTCTTCCATGGATGAATAATATTCCTCTGTGTGTGTGTGTGTGTGTGTGTGTGTGTGTGTGTGTGTACTGCCTCTTTATTCATCTATCAATGGACACTTGAGTCGCTTCCAAGTTTTGGCTATTGTAAATAATGCTGCAATAAACATAGAGGTGCGGATATCTTTTTCAAATTACTGTTTTTGTCCTCTTTGGGTAAATACCCAGTAGTTTAATTTACTGGATCATATGGTATTTCTATTTTTCATTTCTTAAGGAACCTCAATACTGTTTTTCACAGGAGCTACTCCAATTTACATTCTAACCAACAGTGCGCAAGTGTTCCTCATTCTCCACATCCTTGCCAACACTTGTTTTTTCTTGTGTTTTTGATTTTTGCCATTCTGACAGGTGTCAAGTGATATATTATTATGGTTTTGATTTATGTTCCTCTCATGATTAGTGATGTTGAGCATCTTTTCATGTGTCAGCCATCTGTATGTCCTCTTTGGAAAATGTTTATTCAGGGCAGAGGAACTTTAAATTGGATTGTTTTTTTGGTGTTGAGTTTTATAAGTTCTTTATATATTTTGGATATTAACTCCTTATCAGATATATCATTTGAAAAATATCTTCTATTCAGGAGGTTGCCTTTTCAACTTGTTAGTGGGTTTCCTTCACTGTGCAAAAGCTTATTTTGGAGTAGTCCCAATGGCTTATTGTTCCTTTTGTTTCCCATACTGGAGGAGACATAACTAGAAAAATGTTGCTAAGACCGATGTTACACAACATGTAGTTTTCCAAAATTGAATCAGGAAGAAATAGAAAATTTGAAAGGGCCAATTACTAGCAATGAAATTGAGTCAGTAATCAAATAACTCCCAACCAACAAAAGTCCAGGACCACATGGCTTCACAGGTGAATTCTACCAAACAGTTAAAGGGTTAATACCTATTCTCCTCAAACTATTTCAAAAAATAGAAGAGGAGGGAAAGCTTTCAAAATCTTTGTAAGAGGCCAGCATTTTCTTGATACCAAAATGAGATAAGA